TATATATATATATATATTAAAATTTAGGATTTTATAAAAATACTCTTAGTCATTTTCGTAAGAAGTTAAAAATGAATATAGAACCTAAGACTTTTTAACATTACATTTGTCAAAATTTCTTGAATATTACAGTTTTTAGGTAACATATGTGAAAACCCCTTATGTTTACAATACTACGTGCTTGTTTGTGAAAATTTCCTGACTGTTCATTTCTGCCTTTTGTAGTTGAAGAGTTTTCTTAATGAAAGCTTGTTTTCATTTTTTATATTACTGCTTACATTGTTTGTACTATATTTATCATCTTGGCACTAAATTTTAGGGTTTACCCGACTCTGAGGTCCTTTATGGATATCGTGTCGATGGACCTCGAGGATGGGATCAAGGCCATCGGTTTGACATCAATACAATTCTTCTAGATCCATATGCAAAATTAGTTTCGGGTCGCAAAATTTTTGGGGATGTTGAACAAAGAATGTCTGAGATCCTTGGAATTTATGATTTTAATAGTGCACCATTTGATTGGGGGCCTAATTATAAGCTCCCAGATATACCCGAGGTACATTAGCTTGCCAGTTTAGATGATAAAATGGAGTGATGTTTTTTGTGTAAAGTATGACTTCTTTTATTATTGTGCAGACAGATCTAGTCATATATGAAATGAATGTTCGCTCATTTACAGCTGATGAGTCAAGTGGACTAGATCCTGAAATTCGTGGCAGCTATCTGGGTGTTATCAGCAAGGTTTGTTTATTCTTCTTGCATGATGCTTGAAAACTATGATAGCCTAGCTTGCTTGATTTCCTTAATACGAAAGCAATGTTTTGAAATAGACTTCGAAACTAAATTAGGATTTATGCATCCATATTTTGAGATCAAAATAAACTTGAGTTCTTGTTTAATTTGATGCGCCATCATGTTTAAAGCTTATGAGCGGTTAAATGCTTGGTATGGTTTTTCAGTCCTTTAGTTATGTGTACTATTTTCACATCAAAGGTTATGTATTTGGCGCACATCATTGGTCTTCATAGTTATCTGAATCTTAAATACATACTATGTGAATCATAAGTATGTAATGATGTGCATGCTTGCATATCTTAAGCAGATATTCAATGCCAAAATTTCCAGAGACACAAGACATCAATGTGTTGTTTTGTGAATCTACTCTTTTTGGGGTTTTCTAATCGTGAAAAATTATCATTTATTTGTTTAGATACCACATTTGTTGGAGCTTGGTGTCAATGCTGTGGAACTGTTACCAGTTTTTGAGTTTGATGAGCTGGAATTTCAGAGGCATCCAAATCCTAGAGATCACTTGGTAAGTACTTTTTTATAATCTTCGTGTTTCATCCTGTAGTGAAATTTTCAGACCCTACTGTTTACATGGTATATGGCCATTTAAGGCATACGGAT